CATAGTGAGATAAAGAAGACATGCAATTTCTGAACACTTGTCAGAAGTAACCTGACCAATGTTTTTAGCTGGCTGGAAACCCTTCAGTTGAATGAGGCTTTTGTTTCCAAAAGAGGGCAAATGTTTGATAAAACTGACCGTGATTAGTAGAACTAGGCGTCTATTTCTGACTAATATAAAACCCGTTATGCTATAGTCAGCTAAAAAGTGGACTACTATTGGAGATTAGAAGTGGTTAGAATGAAAAAGTGAAAGATTTTAAGTAAAAAAATAGTAGAATTTCAGTTGTTTCTTTATTTATACATAGTTCCATTATATTTTCAGTAACATGTTTACAGGCATATGATAAACATGAAGGTAAATGACGTAGATAGTAGTGGTTCATTATCGGTTACCAAAAGAAGTGTTCAGACACATCACTTCTCAATTGGCTATCTTAACCAGCAGCTGGCAAATACAAGTGGTATCACGTTATCTGAATCATCGCAACTTTCTCTCAGCATAGTTTTTGAGGAGAAGTTAAATACTGTGCGAATAATCACAACTGAAATAATCTTATCGGAATGCTTTATAAAATCTGTTATAATTTGACACATTTACTACCTTCGGGAACATGTGAATACCTTCCAACCACTGGAAAAAGTTTAGGAGGTATGTAACTTTATAGGCTGAATAATCTTAGGAGGTTTTTCATGCCAATTAAGCTTGTGGTCTTCCTGAAAGAGTTTTCATCATCGTTTATCCATAACTATCAGTTCACTTTCATAGAAATGCTTTTTTCGAATAAAAAGGAGTATCTAGAAGTTAACTGGTGGATGGCGACTAGCAGTGGAATCCAGGATGCGCATTTCGTCCTATTTGGGACTCGTCATCTGAATGTATCTGCAATCCGCAGGGAGTGATGATGTTCCCACCGAAGCTCGAACCCATAGATTTCACTGCTAGTCACCATCCACCAATTAACTTCTAATTACATGCCCAGATATCTGCATAAGAAGCCGACATATCAACCTGAGACCGAGCACTTCGGTCCAATCAGTCGATGGGAAAATCTAAAATTCAATTAAAAGGAGTATCTGTTGGGTAAATCGCCTGTGACATTATTTTGATCTATTAAATTTTATTTCTTACTTTACTTTGGTGAACCTCCTTGTGTTATGTGAAGAAAAGTCATTAAGGTTGTAGAGTTTGTTGTAATCGGGGAAATACGATTCATATAAGTTGGAATCCTACCGCCTCACAACTCTACATCAGTTAGAGGGAAAGAATAGAAATTGAAGTATCTTAACCGAAAGTTGCGAACTTCTGCTATTATCCTATTCAAACTGTTTCCATGGAAATCCTGACACGGAAACGGTGAACTCATTGATGGACTTTTGATTTACATTTATTTAATGAATAAACACTATTACGGATGTCCTGCTTGCGTATATAAATTGGATGAATACGATGACTCGAGTTCCCGTAGATGATTATATATGAACAAGAAATATGCTTTGATAGTGGATGCACCTTTACAGTAACAAATAATTGCATTTCCTCACAAAGAACCCCTTCAAACCAATTTACATTTAGGCGGTCCCGTTATACAAGATCAACAGAAAAGTAAAGTAACAAAGCCCGTTGTCAAAAATAATGAATTGGACGTGATTTTGTAATTTGTCTAGAATGACACCAAACGCTTTGCAATTCAGTAAGCAAACTTGGGAAGAGAGAGAGAGTACAGATGCGAAGAATATGTTAAATAAAGATAAGAAAACTGAGGGAAAATAGGAAAATGAAAAGTACTTATTAGTCTAGCAAAGATATACACGATGTATACCACTAATTGATTGCAATGAATAGTTGTATACCACTCACATCAATCAGTATCGTTTGGTGGCCAAATCGAAGTGATTTAAGCGTTTGATGGCCATTCCGCTTGTCTTATCAGTTTGCCCAAGTAGCGCTAGTCAGACAATCGGATAGTTTGAACTCATTCTGTTATCCGAGTTGGGTCGAACCGGCTAAACCAATGATGAGCTCGACCCCAAGAAAGGCAAACTGTCATCGGGTGTTTAGGTCACTTCAATAATCTGCCTAGCAAGCGCTACTGGTTAGTGTGAGTGGTATCCAGTTACTCATTTCAGTCAGTCAGTCAGTGTTATGCATTTATGCTGGCTTTCTTGATTAGCATTTATGATGTCAAACACATCACATTGTTGTGATCTGAATAGTCTCAGCTCCCAAAGGAAATTATGATGAAACAATCACTTCGATAGTGTGAATTGTAAAAATTAATTTGCAGATTGAGAATTTGATTTATAGTGATATACACTGTTGTTAATTATACTGCTTTAATAGGTATTCTGTGTTTTTTAGAAAAAAATACATTTTTAATGATGATGATAATAATAAAGTTAACACAGAATTTTATTGTGTCACAGTAGAAAGAAATTTTTTTTGTTTCAGTTAAGCTTGTTGCTCTTGATTTCATTTCAAAAAGTAAGAAAAGAATTTGTGAATGAACATGTGTTGTTCATCAAAATCAGTAGGCAGCAGGAGGCAATTAGAAGTAAATTCTCAATTAATAATAATAATGATAATAATCATGATAAAGAAAAAAAAGTGTGCTTATTATTGTTGTTTTTGTATTATGCTTCACTTGTTTTGTGTTGTGTGCTAAAGTATAGGGAATAATATCACGGAAGCGACATCATTTTTCCATTACTACTGAAGTGAAATAATGCATATATTGGATTCACTGAATTGACTATTAGTTTCATTTTTTTTTTTTGGTATGCTTTTCAGCGGAACTGTAGTGCTTGCTATCAGAGAATGCATCCAATGAATGCCTTAGGCAAAATTTTTTTTTTCGCATGAAATATGTGTTTTTATTTCCTCGTATTCCTGATATCTTTACTGACATCCAAATAAAACTAAATAGCTAAAGAGCTACAGGCAGAAAACATGAAAATTAGTGAATTGCAATTAGGCGTGGTTTACTCAAACGACCACTGCTATAGGAGTAGACATATGCATTAAGGTGTATAGTGAAGTCAAGTGCTATGAGAGTAGTCGCACTCAGAATATTGATTCGTTTAGAGAGAAAGGTAGATCCACATAAAACCGTGAACATTGATGAGCAGGCACAGTTTCTAAAACGTGACAGTAAGGTACACCCAGAGTGATCACACCACAATAAAAGAAAGGAAGGAATTGACATTGAATCACAACAAGTGTCACATAATTGTTGCGCATGTATTAGACCTTGATTTAGTAAGCATTTGTCGAGTGATGAACTAAGAAACCGTGAAAAATGTTAGCAGGTAATGTTATTGTATGATATGATGACGTGGAATTATACTGCAGCCCTCAAAGTTTAGTCCTACATCACGAAATTTTATTCTTCACTTAGGAATACTCACAAGTCTGTTATAGTTGAAAAATAAATACGGATGTGGCGAGAATTTCACAATTAACTCAGCAAACACTTTATCTGAATAAACGTATTTTCTCTTGTTACCTTCACTACCGTATAATAATAATTATGACTTTCACTGACGTATTTTGGGACATCACTTAATGGTAATGTGATATATGCTGCTAATATACACTTTTACTAGTAACCCACTATGTGATATAGTTTACTTCATTTATTATTATTCCTTAGCGGAACATAGGTCTCTACATCACATTTCTGTGTCACCCTAATCTCTGCAGTCTTTTTTAGTCGACTCCATGACTGCTCACAGTCTTTCGTCTCCTCCTCACATGGCCTCCTTCATCTCATCCATGTACGTCCAACTTGTAGTGTTTCTCAGTCGATTTACACTTGGGGACCAGGCACATGATGTCACTCAACGGTCTCCCCAGAGTATGTTCAAGCCATCTCCATTCCCTTCTGCGAATCAGTTATGCGATAGTTCCTTGGTTGGTCCTTTGCCGGGATGAGTTTCTTCTTGCTTATTTTTTCTAGCCGGCCATTTGATCTTCATTATCGGGCGAAAGTTTATTTTATCGCTGACCGACAAATGGTAATAAATGAACGGTATTCACTGGTTATAAAAATGGTTTTAGTATGGTTTTAGTATGAAGGGTATTTTTATCTTCATCTTACTCGTTCATACAATTAGTAGTCATTTATTATATACATATATATATATAATAATTTTAGTGACTATTTTTACCCAATAGTAAATTCTGTGATTTTAACACAATTCCGAGAGAAATGAAAAAGAAGCTTAATATTTGTGTATAGGCAATAGTTTGAAAATAACAATCATAACAGACTGATGTATTCCACAATGTACAAACTCTTCAAAGGCTCTATAGTTAATTATTGTAGACAATAAATATGAAATATGCGAGTAGAACTTAGATATCGCAGTAGATTATAGTTTCAAATCAGATGGAATCAAATATGAAATTTCATGAATTACCCCCTAATTATTTAACTAACCTACACTTTATTTATTATATCTTACAGATTTGTTCAGTATTTGTTTATTTATTCTACAAAATTGTTTCATCTAGAGATTACGAAAACTTCGTTTTTTGATAGGCATTGGCATAATTTAGCATTAATAGTGCATGACTTCTCACTAAGTAGGCTTTATTAGTGCCACACTGCCTTATAAGAGGTCATAGATTAGGAACTGATGAAGAACTTTTTGTGGATCTGAATTACTTTATGCAACAGTTAAATTTTCATTTAAAAAAATCATTTTTCTCTATATAATATCAGCAGGTAAATACTTTCTTATCATTTAAGTAAATAGAAAACTAGGCCTCACTTCTAATCACAGAAGCGCTGTTCATTAGTTTAGACAATAGACTAGTCAGTCGAACTATAATTGTACTAGTTCAAACATTTGTTATATGGTAAGTGACTAGGTGGTGATTACTAAAGGGAATACATTCATTTTCATTATTTTCTAACTTTCATGAGTTTATATCTATTGTACGAACTTGAACAACAGTCACATCTGTCTCCCATCTCTATGCATCTATTTACCTAGGTATCGGAGCATGAAAAACAAAATCGGATGTCTATATCAAGTCTGGCTAGTATGTTTGCACCAAACTTTCTACGACAACAAGAAGAAGATCTACACATTGAAATGTCCGCCTCCCAACTTATTAATCATACAATGACAGAATTTATCAGAGCCTATCAAATATTATTTCCATTTCCATTAAAATCTCCAGAATTAAGTATATTACAAGTCGGTCAAAGCTTGAATACAAAGGTGCTAATTCAGCCGAATACTTCATCACCTTTGCATATATCTTCATGGAACAATGAAATGAAAATATCGACTCAAAATCAAATGACAGAATCAGTTATTATTTGTGATAAGCCATCAGGTTTTCCAATTCGGTCGTCAGAAAATAGTAATAATAGTACTATTGAGAATAAGTGTGCTAACCACAAGCTTCATCCTCCTATTTCCAATAATGTTAATAATAATTCTGATAGAATTAATCAAATGAATAAGTTTGATCACAAATCCGCTGTATTGAATAATATCAGAAGTTCACATGACACTCATAATACTAACATTATTTGTGCTAATATTACCCCTACTACTACCACTACTACTACTACTACCAACAATATTGTTATGAGACCATGTGAGTCCTGTTTTCTTCTTGGTTTCATTAATAGTTATTATTATTATCATTATTATATTAAGGAATAACTGTACTTTCTGCCCACTTGTATTCTTCACTAAATTCAGTAGTATAGTGATTGTTTTGATTCCATAAAATGTAGTTTTGACTTTTAAATAACAAGATTTTGTTGTGGCGTAAATTTAATTAAAGTTTTCATGTGTGCATGATAGTATAAATGCATGTTTCTCATCAGAGAAACATTGACCCGTTGTCCTTAATGATTCATTTTGACCTTAATGAATTTAGCTTTTGTGCATTTGGTGATAACGATAGTTGTAGGTCATATTAGGTAACCGAATGTTGTTGTTGTTTTTTTTTCTCTCCTTTTTATTTTTTTAAAATATTTTTGTTCACATTTATTTATACGTATGTGCATATATCCTCACTAATCGATATATAACCGACTACATGTGTCAATCATTTAATTTCATTTAATATGTGAGACAGCTTCTGGCATAATTTTTTTCAAGTTTTAAGACAAAATATAGCATTCTTTGTTCACCAACTTTTATGTGACCTAATATACATTTTCAGGTTGATCTTTTAGAATGTACTCACTCCAAGTTTGTTCAGAAGAAATAATTGTTTGTCTGTCAACAGTTGAGTAGTATGCTCTGTCTCACCTTGTGGTAACGAAATGCGATTACCAACATTGTACCATATGCGACAGACTGAAGTACTTAACAAATAGATTCCTTAATGGCAAGTTAAAGTTACTCGGCTGGAGTCCATTAAACAAATGAAACCTGTGACTGAAGACTTAATGGAGTATGATTACCAACCAAAAACAGTAATTCACTCATTCATAGCTTATTGCCTTGTTTAAAATTATTTCAAACATTTTTACTTACTTTATCGCTTCATTCTTTGTATTATAGAATTTTACAATATCTGGTTATATAATATTTACTTTTTATCCCCAGTTATATCCTACTTTTATAGGTGTAGAGATAAATTTTATTGACTTGTACCACAATACAGTAACACCAGGCAGTGTGTGAATAAGGCTTTTGTTTTCTATCATATTTTGAACCAGAGTCTAAAACATGATAGAGAATGTAAGTCTAGACCATTGAAAGCGGACGAACGCATCAGTTTTTACCCTAAAATCTCAAAATTTATTTAGTGCACCACAGAAGATATGAGAATATTCCTGGTCACCTAAAAGTAACCTTATCATACTGTTCCACTGCGTCAGCTACTTTTCAGATGTATGGCAGAAACAGTAAAACAATTGCGATGAATGCCTGGGTTTACAAGAAACAACCTAATTCTTAAATGTTTGTTAAGAGATTCATTCAGTTATGGGTGAATATAGGTGATCTGTGTCTTTTTCTTGCGTGTCTTAGGTAGTAAACACAAGATTTTTTATTTTCTGCATTGAAAGTAAGTTTGGTGGCAGGTCTCTTTTTGTGACTTCAGAAGCCGCCGAATGTATACTTATCTTTTTGACTTGTGTTCTGACTGCTCAAGATATTCTACTATTTAAATGTGTTTCCAAGCAGTAGAAATAAGGTATCGATAAAGCAAAGTGTACTCACTTACATATACAGCGAAAGACTAGCTGTGAGATGTAATAATATTCTAGTTTATAACGACATAGTAAACACTGGTTTTTATAAGGGCGTTTATGATCTAAAAATCCCTGAATGCTAGATCTGAGTCATCTAAAATTCTCATATTCATGGTTTTCTATTAGAAAATGACTTGGAAAGTATGAATTTATTGTTATTAATTTTAAGATAAATTATCGACTGTTTAAGATAGACTTAAATACTTCAGTCACCTTAACCTCATTTGTTTGTTTGTATATTTTACTCTAAAATTAGAATACTGTAGAAGTCAGACATAACTGAAAACCCTTTATACTGTTTCTCCGACTGAAACCTTAGTTCTAAGTGTATGTCTAAGATTAATACTTATCTCGTCCCTGACTTTTTCCAGATGTGCACTGCCTGAAGTATTATCATCACTTTTTTCTGACCCTTTTTATTCGCATTATAAACTATGATAGACTCTTAGTATTTCAGAGATTTTTTAAGACCCATAGGAAAAATCATTGTGTTTTGAAAAATAATTATAATTTGACCAATGCGATCTAAAGTATACGATAGTATCACCATATAAGGAAGGAAGAGCTGAAACCCTGCAAAGGATTTCTAATTACACTGGGATCACAGTGTCATTTAAGTCTAAAATCACACTCGGAATAAAACTTTGTAAAACTGAAGATCCAGCTGAACTAGTTAGACAAAATAGGAATTTGATTTACCGAGTGCTATATAATGACAGTGAGGTCAAATAAATGCATCAGACTAGTAGATCGAGGTCAGTCACATTATCAGGGCAGAAAAATTTAGATGGAACTAGAATGATTAATTCCGCCAGTTTACGTCATTAGTGTATAATCACACAATAGGATGAAACAAAGCGAAAGTATTAAATAGTAAATAAATTAAGCTATAGGGAGATATTAATTAATGAATCTTGGTTCATTGGATCAATGCTCAAAACGTTTAGTAGGAATGACGTAATATCAGTCGAGTTAAAGCTATATAAAGCACGTTAGGCAGTCGAGTGAATATATAGTGAGCAATTAATTATGCTCATAATGTCATACAGTTATTAATACTCCATCACTGTATGTTGTATTGATAAAAAAATGTGGAATTAATATCAAAAGTATGAAGTTGGTCAAGTAAAAGGAAGGATTTGTAAATCATCATCATATTCATCAACGGTATTCTCTGCGATGGGAAATAATCGTTGTATGTATGAAATTTGAGTTCTCCAGTGAATAAATTACTTTTCATACTGTACGAGCGTCGGTGGCACAGCGGTGAAATGCTCGCCGACCACGCATATGGTCCGGGGTCCGATCCCCGGCCGACAAACTCCTTTAACTCACTAAGCCAGTAATAAGACTGGTAGAAAGGGAAAGTTGGGCATGAGGCTAGCAACCCCATCCTGTAAAAATAAACACCACTGCTACAGAAACTTCAAGCCTCTAGCTTGAAGCTCTGTGTTCCACTGGGAACGTACAGGAATAAAAAAACAAACATACCGTACGAACATTGATATTATACCGATCAACACTAATAAAACAAGCCACTACGCCACTGATAACTTACTAACTTATTTTTGACAAATTATTTCGGATATACCTGGACATCTGGAAATTTAAAATTCATGTTCCTTCTCCATTTGTCTATTGTTTTTGCAAATTCGTCTAAATTAGTAAATGAATTTAACATTTAAAAAGGTTTAAAAACTTGCTTTCTTTCGCTAGACATATTAATTAGTCCACTCAATAATCAATACTATTCGTATTCCTTTCGAATGCTAAAGTATCACAATTTTAAAGTAAGACGTCGAAAAATGTACAAGGAATGTTCTTTTTGTTAATTTTTTCTGCAGACTATATAGCTGGATGTATATATTAGTAAATTCAGACATGTAAAGTTAACAGTAGCAGGAATTTTATACCGATGATACTCTAGTCTGAAGGATCCTTACTTTTCTTCCTAGAAGTATGTGAAGGTGGTGACGTCTGAATCAGTATGATGACCCCCGATGATATATATATATAATGATTAATTGAAGATATGTCTAAGATTCTGACTAATAAAATATGACCTTAAGTTTTTGAATTAGTGGATAATAGTGAATATTTTTAAATTGAGTTTGTTCATGACAAGAAAGCACCACAGTTTAATGTCATTGTGGAGTATGATTCTTCACAGCTAAATTAGGGAGTTCCAATAGTTATGAATCCTGATTATACCTTCAAGAAATCTCTCAGGAAGCTGAACAACTGTGAACAGAGGATTGGAACTATAACTTAGGCCTATTGCGTATTCCAGTGTCTTCAAGGCAAATTGTTTAACGATTTATCAGAGTAGAATTTTTGTTACAAAAAAAGCAGCAATTGAACTTGTCACACTTCAAAGAAGCACACATAAAAGAAGAGAAAATAAATGTAATAAAGCTGTAGTGGATGAAGACATATGGGTTACAAAAAGAGATAAATACATATGCACCATTCTGAATGAGTTTGAGCCATGTCACCAACAGTCGGTGGCTATTGCTCTTTAACATATTTACAACACTAGTCAAGCAGTCTGTACCTCCTTACGTAACTCAAACCGATAGTGAAAAACTTCATGGATTTTTGTCATATTTTGATTTAACCACTCTTTTCCAACCTAGACCTATTTATGTCAGCTAACGGTGCTCGACATGGAAACCTGTGTCTTGGCATGTGTAACAGGTGTCCAGGGTCATCCTATTTGATGCACCTTCGCAAACTAACTGATTGACTTTTCACTATAGGCTTAGCCTGAGTTACACTGAACATATTATACCTCTCACCACATGAGATGGGTCACAAGTATATATAGTTAAAAGTGATTTGCCTCTTAAGGTCTTCCACTTTTAGCGGCTACTTCTCACAGCCATAATTTAGGACATAGACATCTGTTGGGCAATACACATGTCCTTTCATTGTTAGCCAGATATCACGCAAGCTGTAAAATGACACACGAGGTATTTTGTCTCCATGCTGAGATTTCACCAGTAAGCAGTCCATCAGGGTTGAGACAACTTCCGAAATAAGCGAGGTGGTCAAAACGCCCATTTTATTTATTATTCCTGAACATAATTATCGATGCACGCCAGTCCTGAAAGGGACGAATAACATGCTAAACATTTCTGCTCAAAGTATGTGGAAGACTGTATTTTATCAGTGTCTTCACCTAGAAGGACTACATCATCTGCATGCTATAAATCAATGAGAAAGTTTCGTGATAAAAAGTCAGCAGTTGAGTTGATCAACGTTGCACCAGTTAGTTCGTCTATTATGAAGTTAAACAAAAATGGTGGCAATGAGCATCGATGACGGAAATCACTGGTTGTTGCTACCAAAGATGACAACTCTTGCTAAGCCCTTACACGGCTAA